CATTTACACCATGGAATACTACGCAGCTGTAAAGAAGAAGGACCTCGTATCCTTTGGGACAGTATGGATGGACCTGGAGAATATTATGCTAAGTGAAATAAGCCAGGCAGAGAAAGACATCATCACATGATCTCACTTATATGTGGAATCTAAAGAACTTAATAAAGTGATGAACAGAATAGATTCAATGACATGAAAGCATGGATCAGACTGACAAATCTCAGAGGGACGGAGGAGGGTGGGTGGGTGGAGGGGGAGAGAGTAACCAAAGAATTCATACGCATAAATGCACAACCCAAGGACACGGACAATGGTGGGGAGAGGGACTGGGGAGGGGGGTGGAACGGGGTGGTGAGGGTCATTGGGGAGAAAAAGGGACATCTGTAATATTTTAAACAAAAATAAACAACAACAACAAAAAGAAATTGGTTAAACTTGGCTTCTTGCTTTACGTATAATAGTTGTGAAATTCAAATATGCTTAAGAAATAAATGCTCTACTTATTAATGGACACTAATGACTTACCTAGGTGTTACCATCACAAAATAAGCACTTATGTATACATAGTGTAAACTGAAGAGTAATTCACACACCCTCCTTATTGTTTTTCTCTATTGTGTTTCAGTGATACAAACAGTCGTTCCCCATATCCGTTTTCTTTGTGAGGTTTACTTTTTTGCTATTTGAGAAGATTGCTGTATTTAAATTAGCTTATGAATCATGTCTTGTAGAACTATCTTAGTAGTCTACAAGAAACCACATTGGCATTGATACTTCTGAAGAGTGGGCTTGCTTTGGAAGACACTTTTCAATTTAGGTGAGTATTTGAAATAGAATTCTCTTGTTCTCTGTGTTTTCATGTTTTTGTAGTACTACTAATACAAGATGGCAGATTTTCCAGAAGGCAGCATGACTTTTTGTGTATGTCAGAAAGAAGCCAAAAAATGAATACCCCAGAAGTGCACACAAAATTTGTCCCATGCTAATGATGCCTGCATAGAAGCAGATAGGACAGGGAAAGCAGTTCATCCTGGCTTTGACTTCCACCCAGTCCCAACTCTGAGCATTGTCTAGCCTGCTTCTTACTCAGAAAGACTCACTTCCCAAAGCCTGTTCTGGAAACACCCTAGGAATATTCTTGATCTCCAATGTGAAATGAAATGTTCTCTTTATACAAAATTATTACATTTAGTTTAAGTGGCTGTGAACACTAAAGTGAGGAGAAAACAGATTGGAAAATGATTTCCCTGCAGACTCATGTAGAAATCAGAACAATGGGTTAGTGGAAAAGGGAAGGAATGGAATGGCGATTGTAAAAGTTGGACCTATTTCTGCATGGTTCAGCAATGAACCCCTTAAGGGGGGATTAGAGACCTTTGAAATAGTCCATCAGGCTTTAAGGCAGGTGATCTCAACCCCAGGAGACATGGCCAAATTACCAGGGGAGAATCTTCAAAGGACATCCTTCCCCACTCTGAGGGCTTCTGACGTTCCTTGGGGTTGACACTGGGGCTGGCTATCTTCCCTTTACTCCCCAGATACATTCTCCATTCTCCTCCACTTTGCTCTATGCCCCATGTGGGCTGCATCACTAAATGGACCAGGCTCTCTTGCCCTCCTTCTTCTGGTTGCCTTCATCCAATGGGAGACAGTGGCAGGAAGTTGGAGGGCAAGGAGAAAGTGAGGTTGTGGGATTTATTCTCCAAGGATCCTCCGTGCCAGGTCAACCTGACTTGCCAAACAACTCTCACAGGATGGCTGCTCCCACTGCTGCTCTCTGGTTTCTGGTTACCACTCTCTTCTTTGCCCTTCCAACCTTACCGGTGGTACCAGCTCCCTGCAGTTATTTGTCCTGGAGTACTGCACTCTCCTTTGGAATTTCCCTAAACCCTGATCACACCTCTGCAAATAGTCCCTTCATTAACCTCTCCTCAATTTCTCCTAATTGACTGTGTCTTTTGCTTTCAGCCAGGACCCAAATGAGCACTGGGTAGGAAGTAGGTGGGATGGTTGGCTGGCCTGTGCAGGGTAAAAATCTCTCTAAGTGATTTAAATTCCCATTCACTTCCCTGCCCTTCATCCCCAACCCCTTTCTGAATAGCAATACAGCCCAATCAGGAAGCAGGGGGGTAAGAGGAAATGAGGGAATGGGGCAGAGGAGCGGTTATTAGGGCAGAGAATGCCTGGCACACCACTATTTTCCTTTCAGTTCAGGGTCTGTGGAAATCCTGATTAGTCTGTAAGTACTGAACAGCAAAGACGAAACTTGCCAATTTGTAAAACAAACTTGGACGTGTCCACTCATTAGACTACTGCATATTCTGCTTTAAAAGAGAAAACAGTACACAGAAAACATTACTCTCCTTTTCCCTTTGCTGACTATTTCAACTAATAGCCTGTGGATTAGTCACTTTCCTAATGAGTAGTTTTACCCTGGCCCTCAGTGAACTAGGCCAGAGAAGGGCCCTGAAAACTTGGAAAACCTCATGAAAAGTCCTCTTCTTTTGACCCATTAGCAGAGGGATGAGATTTTCCAGGGATCAATGTTTATATATCGTAGCTACATTTGGAAATTTGTTTTTCTAAAAATCGTAATTGAGAAAAGTAAGAATTTTATAATAATAGAATCAAAATAAAACATTCCAAGACCTAGTGCGTTCTTATTTTTCATTGGTCTCTAAGATTTTCATAGCTCAGAAAAACAAGCAAGGAAAAACTGTTTCACCAGGTCCTCTACATCTGTGGTTCTTAACCAGAGGCAATTGTGCCCCACAGGGGACACTTGGCAATGTCTGGAGACATTTTTGGTTACCACCACTGGAGTGAGGATTCTACTGGCATCTAGTGGGTGGAGACCAGGAATGCTGCTAAATATCCCACAATGCACAGCTGGCCCCCACAACAAAGAATGATCCAGCTCAAAATGTCAGAAGTGCTGAGGTTGAGAAACTTTTCTCTGCATTAAAATTATAGCTTCATCAGCAAGGAAATTAGTATTAAATAATCTTCCTAACTTTGCAATTTAAAAATTACACTCCAATGAAGCTAGGTACCACCAGCTTACTAATAACACTATAAATCACTCATTAAATATTATGCCTTAGAGTCTGTAGTGTTTTGAAAATGGCAAGTTTATTGTCTTTTTTGAGAGTAATTGATGTTTTTCAAAATAGAAACCAGGCTAGTTGGTCAGATGGAATAAAATAGTTTTGGAGCACATGGAGTCTTTTAAAAAATTATCTCTCTAATCAAAAGCATTTTCCTTTCAGATTGTAGTTCTAACTAAAGAGATGCCCAGCCCAAAAAGAAGTGGTCTGAGGTTCAGAGTACAGATCAAGATGAAGGTAGTGGAATTAG